TAAATTATAGTTTTGAGGTGGTGGTGCTTGATTAGGATCACTTTGTTGGAAATAACCATGTTGATGTGGTGATCCTTGTTGGAAATAACCATGATGGTTTGGTGAAGCTTGTTGGAAATAACCATATTGGTTTGGTGAACCTTGTTGGAAATAACCATGTTGTTGCGATGGTGCTTGCTGATAATAATCATGAGGTGGAGGTGGTGGTGGTGGTGGAGGCGGAGCATTTTGTTGAGAATAACTAAGTGGTGGTTGTGGTAGTAGAGGAGGAGGGACTTGTTGAGAATAACCATGTGGAGGTAATGAATTTTGGTCGATTAAATTAGGCAAATTGGGAGCCGAATCATATTGGGGTTTAATATGAAAATTATTGCGAGTAAAAGGAGTAGATTTATTTTTATCTTGTATTGGATCTATGGCGTATGTCACTCTCTGTTGCTCTTCGAATTTGTAACGTTCGCATGATTGATTAGCACTTTGGTTATAATTTAGATAAATATCAGGTGGCTTTTTCGGAATGACAGGAGGAATTACAGTTTCCTGGTCAGTTTCAAGTTGTGATGGTTTGTTCGGAAGTGGAGGATCAGAATTCCTATTATTAATGATAATATCAGGAATCTCGGTTGGAAGTGGTTGATTGACGGGTTCAGATCCAGCTCGATGGTGTGTGTTATCGGAATGAATTGTATTTGAAGGATTTGAAGAAGAGAAAATTTTATTTTTTAATCTTTTCCCGAAAGAGTCATGTGACTTCTTTGCAGAGATTGGTGACTTTATCGAAGGGATAAACGAACTTTTTAAATTTTTTAACAATTCATCAAGTTCATTATTAATATCATCAATTAAAGGTCGTTCATGAGGATTAAAACTCCAAGCGCGTTGATAAAGTAATTGATAACCTTGTGGAGTATTTGGAACCGGAGTTTCATGTCCAGGATTTTTCCTTATATCTAATGCAGGTCTATTTTCGAAAGGAGTTTTATTGCTTGAAATTTCCCAAAGGATCATTCCAAAACTGTATATATCAGATGCTTTATCACGTTTGTAACCAGGATTTTTAAAACACACAGGATCGGTATACCCAGCCATTCCTTTTTTTAAAAAAGAGTCCCACTCAAGAAGACTCGATTTTGATATTCCAAAGTCAGTGATCATCATTCGATCTCCGACAACCAATACATTATTCGGATTCTGAAATGAAAACATGAAATAAATAAATAAATCATTGATAATTAATATTATATAATAACTAATTAGAAAAAAATATACCAGATCTCTATGAGCAATATTTTGATCATGGATAGCTTTAAGTCCACTAGCGATTTGCTTTCCAATAGAAATTTTATCTTTCCAATTAAGGTTTGTAAAATTTTGACGAAGATATTCTCTTAAGTTTCCATCTTTAGCGTATTCCAAGACCATGAAATATTTGCATTGTCCTTTTTGATTTAAAGAATTTAATATATTGTAAAAATAAATAGTAATGTTTTACACTCAATCCAAAGAAATTCAATTATGTGATCGAACTTATATTTATATTACTCTCTGCATATGTCAGAATAAATTCAGTAAACAATATCGCTATTGCAGTTTTTGTATATTATAACATCGTACAAATACATTTTATTAACTCCAAAGATCAAAATAATGGGTACATAAAATTTTGATATACCCTATAGGTACAACTACATTAATTCTATTATTTATTAGTTATTATTTGTTATTTATTACTATTTATTTATTCTTTATTATTTATAGTTATTAACATTTCGATTATAACAAAAAAAAAATTTTTATTTTATTTTTATCTTTCATATGGGTCTAGTATAATATGTTGTCTAAGACAGTTTAGAGTGATGGTTGGAGCTCTATTTACTTTTTTTATTTGTTATTTTTAGGAGAATTTTATTAATTAGAAGAAACAAAAGAACATTATTAGGAATGCATTTAATTTTTGAGAATTATATCTTATATCTAAGGAATTTGAAACCTATAGACAACTCTGCCACTCAACTTTGGATAAGTTGGATATGAAAAGTTCATATTTAAGGAATATGAACCTTAACTACAACTTCACCATCCAAAATTTGATATAAAATCGCTTTTACTTTTCGCATTTAGAGAATATGAGCCCTATAGACAACTTTGCAATTCAAAATAAATAAAGTTGGATGTAAAACAATAACCAACTAATACAAAAACTTATTAGAGAACTTAACAATTAAATTTTATTTATAAAAAAAAGAAAAAGAAAAAAAAGATAGAAAAAATGAAAAGAGAAAAAAGAAAAAATTAATTTGAAACTAGAATGTTCTCAATTAAATCTCTTAAGTCTTCCACCTCTGCTCTTAAAGAATTTTACTCTGCCAACAAATTCACATACTGAATGTTTTTTTCCAATTTTCCATCTGAACCTCTTCAATACAAAATATCGCATTCTCTACTTCTTCTTCCAACTCTTCTACTTCCTTTTCTAAATCTTCCGCTTCTCTTCTTAATACTATCGCTTCTTTTTTTAACACCACCACTTCTCTTCTTAATGCCTCTACTTGCACTCGCAACCTTCTATCTTCTCACGCCAACCTAAATTATTATTATTACTTTTATTATTATTATTAAGATTATTATTATATTAAATTATTATTTTACTGTTGATTTATACTTTGAAGCAAATTAATTGCTTCAAAAAGGGCATTTTGATTACCAGTTCTTCTTTGATGGTGAGTGGTAGAATAATTATTATAAACATTATTATTATTATTATTATTATTATTATTATTACTATTATTATTATTATTTTCTTTTTTTTTAACTTTGAAAAATTTTAGTAAGAATATTTTCATTAAAACTTATCATTACCCCTTATATTACACAAATTTATACTTCTGACAATTATTATCTAATATGGTAATTGTAATAATCAAAAATAAAACAATCAAAAATTTGTATATTACCGATTGTAGTAGAGTGATAATGATCTGTGATTGTAGCCAGCAGCTATAGGTTCAATATCTGCTGATAGACTGCAAACTCTGCTGACAGGTCATGATTACAGCATCTGCATTACAATAATTTTTTAAATTTATAATTTTGCAGAGCAAAATTTTCTACAGAGGGAGTAGTATAATATAGACAAATTTTTTATTAACATTTTTCTTATATTTTTTCTTAAATTTTATTATATAT